TTTCCTGATTCCTTCTCTTTTTCCAACCTACCTTTCTGCCACCTATTTGTCCCCTTTTCCTCCTTCCCTCTTCCTGGCAATCTCAACCCAGGAAAATTATGGCTGAGTTGTGTGGTGCTGGCCACTGAGCTGGGACCAGTTGAACAGTGCTGGCTGCTGGGTCCAGCTGCACATTGGGAATCATTAAGGACTTGCAGAGGGCACTTCACTTTCTCCTCTATCCACCTCCTCACACATTTTCTTCTTCTCCTCATCTTGGCAACTTCCCCCTTTCCTACTTGCTTCTCTCCTTTCTGCCCATCCACCAATTTACCTTTTATCTTTGGCCATGTTTATTATATCTTTACCTAATTTATATCCTGTTTTCTTCTCAATCAGAACCCAAAGCAATTTAGATAATTCTTCTCTCCATTTTATCTTCACAACAACCTTGACAGATAGGTTTGGCTGAGAATGTGCGACTGGCCCTAGTGATCTTTCAGAACAGAGTGGGAATTTGTATCTGAGTCTCCCAGAGCCTACTCTAACCACTACACCACACTAGCTTTCATGGAGTGGTATGTCATGGAAGCCACATGATAGCAAGTAATTGTGGTTGGTGCTGGGCCTAGCCTTAATAAGTCTTCCATCAAATGCCAAAATAGCCCTGGAAAGGACCCTGTCCCTGCCCCTTTGCCTTTTACTGATAGAAACCAAGGCTTGAAAGCTGGCAGTACTGTTGTGGTTGCCCACTAAATTCCACTGAGGGCATTCATTTCTTAAGGCTACAGGCACAATGTCTATAATTTGTAAATGTGAATTTATTTCTTACCTTGTGAATGTGTTTTCGGGGGTAGAACTTTTGAGCAATCTTCATAGGGCACCGTGAATCCAGCTGTTAAGATTTCTGATGGAAATGTTAATGAAATGCCTACTGATAAACCAGTACAGGCACTTACCATGCTGCTTGTAACCTCTGTGGTGGGGGGAAGGAAACAGGAATGTCAATAGTAATTTTATATCCATAAATACTGTGAATCTTCATGTGTTTAGATACTATTCAAAATATTTATAGAAATAAGGAGTAGAAAACGTACAGGTTCATTTGGGTTGCTCTTTTTTAATCACAGTTTTTTATTTTATCACAAATCAACATACAAAAATGAACAAAGACACACAAACATATATTACAGACAAATTGGGGGTCTTCTGAATCTATGTAATAATAATCTGTTCCATTACTTCTTACAGTATCCAGTTGGTTATAAAATATATATACCATAAAGCTAAAAATCTTTTATCCATAAAGTCTGGATATATTTGCAAATAGTATCTATAATATCTCTAATATATGTTATGGAGTTATATAGTTCATTTGTTGTAGTCTTCCAACTAAGGATAAAATCTCGACCACGTATTATGAAATTTTCTTTCTTGCCCTTTCAAAAATAAGGCTAATTTGTCTGGGTTGCTCTTTATTAGTCACCATCAGGGATGGGGGAATCAATGTTTGGGGCCTGGAAAGCCAAAACCAGTGAAGCAGTCAGTTCAATTCGAATTTCAAAAAACAATATAAAATGTATTCTATTGTTCTGACCATGTAAAGCCGGAACAGTTTTTTAAGTTACAAAATACTAGAACAGAAAAATATGAATGGAGCGGAAATGCTATACTTCAGCAAAAATGGATACCTCTTCATTTTGAGAGATTTCTCTGCAAATATATGGGTCAACAGTTGTTTAGATACATTTGTGTTACAGCAAGCAAAAGCTTTCATTCATTTTCCATTTGAGTCTGTAGCAAACTTATATCGATTTTTTTTCCAGGCAATGCAGAATGGAGCACTATGGAAGCTGGTTTGTCTCCATCGATTTTAATGGGTGATCTTTTAAAAAACAAAGCACACAGTTCTGTCTCTCAGAATTTTCTCATGGCATATACCTCCTTTCATTTCCCACCAATACAAATGGCTTGAGGATTTGGTTACATGTGATCTGACTGCTGCATCACTCTGTAAATACTGAGAATAGGATGCGCCTACCAGTTGTGCTGATAAATGTCACAAAAATAGCAGGGAGGGGCAGCCAAAGGGAAAAGGGGAAGAAGAATAACGCAATACCCAGACAGAACCAGATGGGAGTAAAATAGGCCACAGCTTTATTGATCACAGCAGATGGAGCACTGGCGCAGCATACAGCATGGATCCAAACATTGGGTGACTTGCCTGTCAGCCAATGAACTCATTCCAGCCAACCTGTTGGGGGAACCTGAAGTAGCAAACAGGTTCCCCACAAATGAACAGACCTATGGGTGGAACCCTTGTCACCTGGGAGTGGAGCTGGGCAACAGTCCTTGAGCTGGGCATGCCGCTATATGGCTTGACCACCAAGACACCTGGGGAGGCAGGCATGCAGGCACAGGCTCCCCCAATGGATCAAGCCCAATGCCTGAAAGTGCCATCAAGCTGTAACATGAACAAACATAACAATGAAACAACTGTGAAGCTGTAGAATAAAGGGAGGGGTGTTTGCTGAGGTACTGTGCTTGTGTGGCTGGCTATTAATAGGGATGGAGAGGGGTGGCTGCAGCTGATGCTTCTCCAGGCTCACCCTCTGGCAGGCCCCAAAGAGCAGGAACCAATGTGGCCAGCCACAGGAGAACAAAGGCCTGGCTGGGCACTTGCAAGATGACATGGCCAGGCCTAGTCCAGCCCAATTTGTGTCGTAGCAGCCATGCAGTTCCCTTCTCCTGAACAGTGCTCAGCCCTGTGGCCACAAAGCAGTCACTGGTAAGGTTATGTACTGAGCCTAAAGCCATTCCTCAAGAACGGGTTGAGCTTGCTTCTCTAGAACAATAGCTCACCTGGATCCAGGAACTAACCAATAGATAAGCGGAGTAATGTAAATAGCCTATCACTGGGAGTGGGTCTGTGTTGGGTGTGGTGTTTGCAGGCTTTATAAGCAGGGCTCAAGCCCTGCTAGCTTGTCTTGTAGTTTGCTGAAATCAACTAATAAACCAGAGCTGATCACTGCAATGCATCTAGAACCCAGTATTTAACATTGGCGATGAAGGTGGGATCCTGTTGAGCCAGCGCAGCGCCCACCAGCACCGCACCGCACACTGAGCTCCTGTGCCATGTGCATCGCATCGCTCCCGGGACCCTGACTGCTGCTCCAGGACACTTCGATGCATTCGACGCCACTGTGGAAGACTGGGAGTCTTACCGCTCCTGGTTCGAGTTTTTTCTCAAGTCCTCCGGGATTGAGGCAGCGGCAAAGAAGTGTGCCACTTTCTTCCAAGTCTGTGGCTGCTTGGCCTTCGAGATTGCTCGTTTGCTGATCACTCCTGAGGAATACAAGGACGCTGACTACAAGATGATTTTGGATCGGCTAAAGGAACACTTCTCTCCAAAACCACCCGTCATCACTGCCTGCCACGCATTCCTCACAAGGAACCAGGCTGCGAACGAATCAATCCGGCATTGCAGCTTCCACGACCTCGAGGACATGCTTTGTGACTGGCTGGTCTGTGGCCTGGGGGATGAGTGGATTCAAAGGAAGCTCCTCGCCAAGGGTGATCCCAAATTCAAGGAGGCCATGGAAGTAGCCCTCGCTGCAGAGGCAACTGATCAGTTCACAGCAGAGGTCTGGCAAGTGAAAAGCCCACCATCTTTGCGGAGGCCTACCACCATGGCCCACCATGTGGACACATCCGAGGAGGAAGAAGAAGAAGTCCTGCAAATCCAGCATACTACATGCTGTAACGCTCACCCATCTGCACTGCCATGCGCCATCGACACCACCACATCAACACCATGTGCCAGCTGCGGGGAGCCCCTTGAGCGGAGGTCCTGCCGGTTCTGGGACACCATGTGCAGGAACTGTGGGAAGGTTGGCGACATTGCCCGAGCCTGCCATGCCAAGGGAAATTGGAGGTGACCAACAGCAACCCCAGCATCAACGCACACCACAGAATTGCACACTACCTCTGTCCAAAAGCAACAGGTTCTGAACTTGCCCTGGGACACCCCTGATAAAATAACAGTGACTGTCCTAATCGAGGGAACCCCCTTCATGATGGAGCTCGACAGAGCTCTCCATAATTTCAGAGGACACCATGAAGAGATTCTGTCCTGGGGGGGTCCCCAACTGAGACCTAGTGGTTTCACCCTGTGAGACTTCCAACAGAATGAAGTGGCCATGAGAGGGGTGGGCACATTCTGGGTACAGTACTGGAATTTTTATTGACTTTTAGACTTGCTGGTGTTAGGAAGCAGTCGCATGAGTCCCCATGGGACTAGCCTGGTTCGCGCCCCTGAGGTTCCAAGTGACTGGGGTGCACCACGTGGCCACAAAAGACATTCAGCGGGTGTGTGATGAGTTCCAGGCAGTCTTTGATGGGATGCTCGGTTGCTACACCGGACCTCACTGCAGCTCAGCTCGGCGGTGTGGCCCAAGGGGTTTTAGAGACAGTTACACATGCCCTCTGGGAAACTCCTATTGTGATGCCGGTGAAGCCCAATGGGGACGTCTGCATCTGTGTGGACTACAAATGCAGTATAAACAAGGAGCTGCAGGACCACTCCTACCGGGTTCAGTCATGTCCTAGCCTCTCTGGCAAGCACCAAGATCTTTGAAAGCTGGACTTAGCTCAGGACTACCAGCAACTCCACATAGATGAGGTGACCACAGAGACCCAGACTACAGTGACACACAGAGGTGCATTCTGGGTGTGGCGGCTGCAATTCAGGGTCAGTGCAGCCCCGGGAATTTCCCAAAACCTAATGGACTCTCTTCTTAAGGGAATTCCCAGGGTACAGTCCTTATTCGATGACGTTTTAATTCCCCCCCCCGAGACAAGGACTTCGCCAGAAGGTTGTGCACCATCCTGCAGTAGTTCCAAGCAGCTGGTTTCAAGGTGAAGTGGGAGAAATGCCTCCTGGGGGGTTCCATGGGTTGAGTTCCTGGGATTCTTCATTGATGCTGAGGGCATCCATCTGGCCCCAGACAACATGTGCACCATTGTCGACATCCCCCACACCAACCTCCAAGCCAGAACTCCAGGCCTTCTTGGGGCTTCTGAACTTCTATCACTCCTTCCTGCCCCACAAAGCTGCAATTGCGGAACCCCTTCACCACCTCCTTGACAAAAGGCCATGTGGGTCTGGGGCTAGAAACAAGCCACTGCGGTCCAGGCCATCAAGGAGCTGCTCACCTCCAATGCCGTCCTGGCCCACTTTGATGAAGCGATGCCCGTCGTCCTCACCTGCAACGCTTCCCCATATGGGGTAGGAGCCATCCTTGGACATCAGCTACCGGACGGCCGGGAGGTCGCCGTGGCATACTACTCCCATGCCTTGTCTTTGGCCAAGCACAACTATGCACAAATTGACAAGGAGGCGCTGGCTATCATAGCGGGGGTGAAGAAATTCCATGACTACCTCTATGGGCAGCCGTTCACCATTGCAACAGACCACAAGCCCCTGCTGGGCCTATTGGCTCCGGATCAACAGACCCCCCCAGATGCTTTCACCCCGAGCGCTGCAATGGTCAATCTTCCTGGCAGGATACCAGTACTCCCTCCACCGTTCCACTGTATTGGTAGACCTGACCTCCAGAAAACAGGTCTACCTGCCCCAGTCCACTATACTAGTAGACCTGTCCTCAGACTGTCATCCCACGCTGAGCCTTAGAAAACATACAAGCACTTGGGGGGGGGGACACTCTTGCAGTCTACTTTGGTGTTTTTTTGTAGTGAAATATGACAAATTATAGGTCAAGTATAACAGAGGTGGAACAATCACTGTCAGAACCCTGCCTAACTTAGCAAACAAGAAGTTGCTTAAATGTGTTTTTTTTTGGGGACACTCTTGCAGTCTACTTTGGTGTTTTTTTGTAGTGAAATATGACAAATTATAGGTCAAGTATAACAGAGGTGGAACAATCACTGTCAGAACCCTGCCTAACTTAGCAAACA